TGTTCATGTTGCATTATACTGGCCCTAACATTTTGAGCACTTTTGGGAATGAAAAAAACAAAACAAAAAGCTAATAACTTATGTTTATATGATGCATTTAACGTCTGGTTAGTTTTTAAAAAATTACTTATAAAAAATGTTTTTTTTTGTCAAATTATTTTTCTTTTTTAAAATAATGATTTAAAACAACCACAGACTGGTTTAAACAACCATGTTCTTTCACTTTCATCAATGTCAATAACAATTAAAAACTGACGGCTGTGATCGTGTGACTGAAAAAAAAAAAAAAAATCTGGGGTTGCCAGATATTTGTGATGTGCAAATGTGGTCACGAGCCAAAAAAAAAAAAAGGCTGGGAACCACTGCTTTAATGTCAATAATTTTTAATTTACTAGAATTAAAAATTGAAGTATATCCTAAACAAATACATCAGGTATTTAGAACATTATTATCAAAGTAGTGTTGAGCTGTTGTGGAAAAAAACTTTATTAAACTCTATTATTGTCTAGTGGAGACTTGGGAAAAATCTTATCTGCTGCTCCAGGTTCAGAGTCCAGTTGTATTTGTTGGATCTGCAGGTATTTGTTGGGTATTTGTTGGACCTGCTGCTACTTCAACATGAATCAATTAACCTTACAAACTGAATTCCTGGCTGAAGCTCTGCTCTAATCTCCGCTCTGAGCATAAGGAGCTTTTCATCCACATATTAATTATTTTTTTCAAGGGGAAAGAATATTACGACTGCAGTTTTCCCTCCGTGTCCTGGGAAATGGAAACACAATGTAATATTGTTTATTAAATTACTCTTTTGATCTCTGTGAAATGATTTAAAAAAATATCTACATGTGAATCAGTTAAAGCAGTGGACTTCGACGTTATGCCGATGATGTGATGACTTCCTAGTGTAATATATTTTTATATAAAACTGGGCTCATTCTCCTGCCTACTGTAAATGTACTTCATTTATAGTAAAAATACACACTCTGCCTGTCAACCTCAAAGGATCATTCAATCAACCTAACGTTCCACGAAGACCACGCTGTACCTTCACGGACCCCCAGAGGGCGGCACATCCCTGCTGAAGTCTAAAGGTCTAAAGTTTCCGCAGCAGAAGTCGTCAGTAATTAGGAAGTCCAGTTAATTGGCTAACGTACAGCTGGCGATCGGCCTCGGTATTCACCGCTCCGGTCTTTCCAGAACATATGAACCTCAGTTATGCGGTTGTTTATGTAACGTTCTGCGCTGCCACCTGGGGGCTGGTAGTGTGACTCCACGGAGGCAGGAAACATGCACGCTCCATATGGCACGGCGGTGTCCTGACAGGTGGGCATTTGTTAGGTCACTTGTACTTTGTTTGGGTGAGTGGAGAAGATGCACCTTGACCATCTGGGCTTAATCTTTTCCCCTGGAGTTGGCAGCTAACGTGCTAACGGCCTGTCCTCGCCATCGGTGTCTACGCTGCACGCCAACTTTACTCTGGCAGCGTGAACGACTGATTCTGCTGCTGGAACCAAGGACCAAGAACCAAGCTCTTCATTATCATTATATTTAATATATATGTATGTATGTGTGTATGTATGTATAAATATATATATAAATGTAACTATATATATCTCTGCACACCTCAGACATAGTAGGATGGATGGATGGTTGGATGGATAGATGGATGATGGACGGACAAATGATGAATGATGGTTGGATAGGTGGATGGATGGATGGTTGGATGGACGGACAGATGGATGATGGATGATGGATGATGGCTGATGGATGATGGATGATGGATGATGGCTGATGGATGATGGATGATGGATGATGGATGGTTGGATGGTTGAATGGATGAATGGATGGATGGACGGATGATGGATGGTTGGATGGTTGAATGGATGAATGGATGGATGGACGGATGATGGATGGTTGGATGGTTGAATGGATGAATGGATGGATGGACGGATGATGGATGGTTGGATGGACAGATGGATGTTGGATGGATGGACAGATGAATGGATGGATGAATGGATGAATGGATGGTTGGATGAATGGATGGTTGGATGGTTGGATGGTTGGTTGGATGGATGGATGGTTGGTTGGATGAATAGATAATGGATGAATGGATGAATGGATGAATGGATGGTTGGATGGATGGATGGATGAATGGTTGGATGAATGGTTGGATGGACAGACAGATACTTTTCTCCCCAGTCTTGTACGACCAACTCAACACCTTTGACACTGATGAAGCGTCATTACGTCACAGTCAGAACGTTCTGGACTTACGTTCCCAGCACTTCTTTGAAGTCGTAGTTTTCCTTGACATCCGACGTCTTCTTTTTCCATCCATTTCCCTCCTCTCCGAGAGGCATCCTACCGTACTGAGTGACTTCAACACACGACAGCTGAGAGGCAAACAGGAAAAAAACAAAATAAAAACAATTATGAGGACATCTGGACGAGACGGACTTTTAGGACAATGTTGAGTTAAGAGACAGGTGAATGGTGCAATACCAACAAATGACCTGTAGGGTCTGAATGCAGAACAAATGTTTTTTTTTTTGTTTGTTTGGTTTTTGTTTGTTTTTTTTTACCTCTAAAGTGCTGTCATAATAAAAAAAAGTCAGTGCATCAGAGCTGCCAATTAAGGAAGTGGTCCATGTTGCATTGCCAAGTAATGATATTTTGAGCACTTTTGAAGTGCAGAACGCATTATCAAATGACCTTCCTCATTCAGGACTGGGTTTTTAACATCAGGGCTGCCTTTGTTACACCATCTGGATGCTGGATCAAGCCTGGGGGGTGGGGGTGGGGGGGTTGAGGGTGGAGGGCACGGCTGGAGCCTTGCCCAGCAGACTTCAGCGAGGCTGGGGTACAATGGACTGGACAGTTTGCCGGTCCAGTACATGACACACTTACACACAGAGACACACAAACATTCACAACAACTCCATACAAGAAGCAACTAATCCAACCAGCAACCAGCTGGTTGGATTAGTTAAGTGAGTTTTAACCCACGTAATGCACTTATTAGAGATGATTTAAAGTGTGATTGTTCCAAACAGCTGAAAATCATATGAATCATGTTTTTTTCCCTCTGTTTTCTGAGTTGCTGCTGTGGTTCAGGCCACTCAATGACAAATGTTCCTTTTCTTTAACATGTGATGATGTGTCGGCCTGTGGCTGCAGACCTGTTTGGACCCACAGATTAAAAAGTTAATTGTTCTTCACTCACAGTTTTTCCAGCAGCAACAGCTTTGGAAGTAGGGCAAACTGAGCAGCACGAGAGAAGAACCAGAAAACATCGCACAAATAAACGCATGGTCAGTGGATGTAGATGCAGCTGGGGGAGTGGGGGGGG